AAGTGGCTCGCTGATAATAACGGTTTAATTCATATTAAATGCACGAACGGGCAAATCTGAAGGTTTAACATCCACACTTTTGTCAACAACCCGATTTAATTCAAACAATAGCAACATAATGCTTTTTCCCGCTGTTTGTTCGATGGGGGTTAAATTAAACGCTTTATCTGCTCGGAGAATATATCCTAAATCAATAATTATAGGCTTTGATAATAAGTGGGTCGCAGCCATTAATCGCAGTGGATCCTCGCTGTGAGTCTAACGCGCTGGCATCAAAGGTCAACTGGAAGAAGCCAGTAAAAGCGGCCGCAGTGACACCGCTCACAGTGCGCAAGAGCGACGGGCAGCAGCTGCGCCTCTCTGTCAGAGCGATAGAGAAAAGTGTTGCACTGTCGCCTTTCCGTTAGTGCGGCTAAGCCAAACCGGGGAGACGGACTGCGGTAGGAGAAACCGAGTGCCAAACATAAGGTCCGAGGACTACCTGAGGGCGTTCCAAGGCACTCGTTAGGACCCTTTTCGATGTAGCCCTAAATGCATCGAAAGTGAGTGTGCAATGCTTTCAGATCAATAGTTCTGGGGGATTCTAAGGGAGGATACGACACACTCACATGACACTTCAACCTGAGGATGAGGATCAAGTGCTCAGGTCCCAAAAACTGTCGCTCACCAATCATTTTTCAGAAATCCCTACTGGTGTGATAGAATAAGAGCGTAAATTCAATTAAAAACTGAACCAATACACGAATACAAACAGTTAAAATAAAAAAACAGAAACTTTAAAATAACTTAGACATTGTTTATGTAGAAAACAAACTGTATTTTCTCCTATAAGTGCTCTCCGTGTGCTACATGATCTGTCACTGTAGTGTTTTTATTTTTCTAAATTTTACTGATATGCGCAACTATGTGTTGCGCATTGTGCCATTTCTTTAAACTGCTTCCAGAGACAGATGTGTGAACAGTCACGGCATCACGTACGCGCAGGCCTTCAGTGGCGTGCAAAGCAGATGTACCCCTAAGTCCACGTATGTGGCCATTAAAAGAATGTATACCAATTTACGCACAAGCTACACATTTATTAGTCACAGGCACTTCCCAAATCTTTATTTTATCCACGTGGATCGTAAAATATGACAAATTAAAAATGACCAATAAAAAAACTTTCTCTCTCTCTTTTTTTTAAAAAAATCCAGTAAACACGAAGCAGACTTTACACGATCCCCACTCTTCTTAAACAGGCTAGAATGACGCGTGCAGTAGCCTTACCTGATATCATATTCTGGTGATCCTTGCGCAGTAATACTATCTTCAGTCATTAATACCCTTGCCCCGATAAAGCGTGTGTGTCCGTGCATAGACCGGGCCGGCCATCGTCTTTATTTTCTGCAGCAGGTGTTCTTTTAGTCTGTCGAGTCGGCAGGGCGAAGATCTTCCAAAGTTAATATTGTGTTTCCAGAGATGATGGGGAGTTCACTGTCCTCGCTTTGTTTACACATTCTAAATTAATTAAGCGAAGGATTCCTCTGTCTGTTGCAAAAACACGGAGGCTGGAGGGAGGCTGGGTGCAGCGAGGGGAGGCTGTGATTTATTGCGGCGGTGCAGATATAGGGCCGCGGATCGCCTCTCCTCCAGGCCGGGGAGCCGCGGACCGAGCCAACATTCCTGTGCGGGGGCGAGAAAGGGAGGCTCGCCTGCACGCACATAAAAACACAAGGGACGTGGAGAGGGTGATCTCTATGGGACAAGAAATGGTCGTGTGTACAAGTGAAAGTATCTGGGGGGAAAAGTGTATAAAAATGAAGGAAGGAAGCCTCAACAGTGCTTTCACAAGTCGAGGGGAAACAACGTGGAGTGTCTCTGTCTATGTGTGTGTGTCCAGAATGTCCCCACCAGTAAAACGAGAATGGTTTGTTTTTATTATTAGCACACTCCAGAGTTATCCCAACTGTGCAGCAGCAGGTTTTATAATTATGTATCCAGGCAGGCCT